TTCCCTTTTTACCCTTAATGATCTCTTTCCTAGTCAAACTAATATTTTGACTTTTTTTAAAAAACTCATTGACTTTCAAATTTCCTTTTTATAAAATAATATGTTCCAATATTTCCAAATCATAAAATAAAATATTTTCAAGATTGCTAAATAACTAAAAATAAACTTTTAATTAAAGTAATTCTTTTTTAAATTAATGAAACACCGTAAATAATTCATTTCGAATTATTGAAATACTTTAAGAAATACTTATTTAAATTAAAATACGTATTAAAATACGGGGTATTACAAGGTAGGAGTCTCATAACTTGGAGTAGGAGAAGGAGAAGGATAATTTTTATGTCTTTCAAAAGGTGGTATGGATTCATCAATGGAGGAAACAAACTCCTTGTGAAGTCTTGGATAAACAAAAGAGTAGTTGAGAGTTCAAGTAATGAAGTTGTTTAAATTCTTTCAAGGTTTGGTTCTCCCCAACTTTGGTGGTTCCACAACTCTCCTCCTAGGTTCATAGTTAACTTTAAGGTAGTACAAATCACTTTTGAATCGAGTTAAGGTTTCTAGCAATTCCCCCTCATGATGGTGCTTCTCATTCTCAAACAAAGATTCATACTTTTTAACTTTGCACCAGGTAAATGGGCTAGAGATAATAGAAGTAGCCATGGTGGTTGAGTGAACACCTCGAGGTCAAACTTCTCATAAAGAGGTAGAACAAGGATGGTTAATTTAGTCACAAAATCATTAACACGCACTAATCCCTTCACAGATCAATAATAAATATAAAAAATATACTTCTTTACTTCATCCAACATATATTTAAACATATAAATAAATCAATTCAATGAACACATTAATGTTATTCCACATAAGCTATTCAAATCAAAACTCAATGAACTCCATTTGCATGATGCAATACATATCAATCAACAAGTATTACTTAAGATGACTCAATTATGAGCATCTAAACACCAAAATTTCGGACCTCTTATCACCTTTCAAATAATCTAAATCAAAAAATTTATTCCTCATATCATCAACCATTTTTATCTTGTTTACACACATAAATTATCAATTCAATGGTATTTCGCCTAAGCAACTCAGCTCATAAATTCCATCTGCATAAAGCAATTCATAACTCAATAATAACCAAGTATAACTCAAGATTACCCAACCATGGGCAATAAACTCAAAAAAAAAAAAATATCGGACCTCTTGACCATAAACTAAGGTGTTATAACACCAACTTAATGCACAACCAATCACACTGACTCAAGCTTTGAAATAGTTTCAATTCTTTTTGTTTTCGAATATGATAATAATCTACTTGAGTCATGATATAGGACGGTCGAGCCAGCGTCTCCCAGGAAAGTTACCTACAGCGTCGAGGCGAGGCCTTTCCTAAACAGAGAGGCGTACCCATTATAGGCCTCCGTAGAGAACCCGAGCATCCTTTTCTCAATCATCTTTCCACAAATAGGAAAATAGTTTTTATATAAAAATAAAGCTTTTGACTTTCACACACAAATGCGAAACTCTATCTATCCTATATGCCCTCTTAACTCTACCCACAATTTTTATTATTCCCAATTTTAATCTTTTTAGGACCTTGAAAACCGATACCACTTTGTAACACCCCCAAACCTCCCTCCACAGAAATATTAGTATAATACGTATAATTATCCCGTAGAGATAGACTTAGGCGTATTACCGCCGCGTGATTACACAAGGCTACTCAAAATACTTAACTCAATAACAAAACTTGCAGCTGAAACTCAACTTTCTTTTATTAATACTTATAAAAATAGTAACATTGTTATGAGTACTCAAAATAAAGACAAGACCAACATTCCTAAACTAGGTGAAGCAAATCCCGGGACTCCCATATGCTCATTCATGACACCACCCGAAAATAGTCAACACTGTTTACCATTACGGTAAATAGGGCGAACCAAAACAAATAGGAAATACGAATTAGCAAAATATGCTAAGTACGATAAGTGCAAGATAAGTAAATTCAACTTATTTGCAAACATGCTTTTAAAAACAATTCCAATAATTAATCCAATAAATTCCAAAACTCATGTTTCAAACCAATTCTCAATAATTCAATAATTCGATGAAATGATTCATAAAACCAATTCCAAAAATTCAATATTTCAATAATCAATTCAATAAAACCAATTCCTCTTTTTTAAAACCAATTCCTCACCCAAGTGTGCACACCCCCCAAACTAGTCTCCTTATATTGTAAGGCTATTCTTGAGGAAAGACTCGGTCATACAAAATCCAAAGTCTTATCTACCAAATCCGCATAGTGGGATTACTAACATGCTTGTAAAGCTTTAATAATAATAATTCAATAATTTCTCCTTAAATAAAATCAACCTTTATAATAGGTTAAATCAAAACTTCTTTTTATTTAATTCAACATGCCTTCAAAATCAACCTTTTAATAAATACTTGAGAATTAAATCTCATATAAATAAATTATCAAAATCAGTAACTCTTCCTTTGAAAAACCTTTTATTTAATTCAACAAGCTTTTCAAATAAATTCCTTTATTCAAACATGATAAGTAATTCAAACCATTCAAAACATGATTTTAAAATCAATCCTTCAAAAATACATTTATTAAAACAAATATTAAAATCAATTCTTCCAACCATACTTTGTTTCATAAATCATAATTCAAATCAACTTAATTCAATCACCAATAAAATCATATTAGACATGTTATTCAAACCAATCACTTCCAAAGGTATCTAGCCACCTAAACGTACCTTTGATCCTTGCTAGCAATTACACAAATAGACTTCAAGAACCTTGATTGAACACACCCTACGAATAAATATAACCTTAACTAATATAAAGTTAACAAATAATCACAACAATTAAATTAAAAACCCCCAACTATATGTACATGAACCTTTTAAATTATTTTTCATAAACATGAATAAAAATCTGATTTTATTTAATTAAAACTACTCATAATAATTTTTATAAATCCCCCATAATAATAATAATTAATTAAGTAAGAGAAGAGAAGAGAAGAAGAAAAGGTAGAAAACCAAGGAAAAGAGAGAGAGAGAGAGAGAGAGAGAGAGAGAGGTGGCGGCAAGGGAAGCCTTCCGACAGGTGGCTGGAGGTGGCGGTCGTGGTGATTGGTGGTGGTGCAAGAAAGAAAAGAAATGAAAAGGAGAAGAATTGGAATTGCGTTTGAAAGAATAGGCAAAACTTGTAGAGGCTATAACTCCTTCAATATAACTCCGAATTAGGTGATTCTTGAGCCTAAACTCAAGGATATTTCGAGAGGAGCATTTTTTGTGAAATATAAATTACCCCAAAACTATCAGAAGTGTCCGAAAATTGGCTCCAAAGATATACGGGCTGATTTTCTTTTAGAAAAGAGGAGAAGAAGAGTAAGAGAGAAGAAGAGAATTGGTTTGAGTGTTTGGCCATGAATCAATGGGTATTTATAGGCTAGCTCATGCATGAATTATGGTAGGAAAATGTATGAAGAATTATGGCAGAAAGAATTAAGGAATTACTTGGAGAAAAGAATGAAAAAAAATATGGAAAGTTTTGATATTAAAGTGATTAAGAATAATAGAATTAAGGAATAATCAAGAAAGATATAAGGTAGGAAAATAAGATGATCAAATATTTAGGAGATGGAGAAATAAAATTAAGGAAAATAAGAGATTTTAAGGAGATAATTAAAAATACAATTTTTCAAAATAAATCACCCAAAATTTGATCAAGAGGGCCAAAAATATTGAGCTTCCATAGCTCAAATTTTCGTATCCTATTAGTATATTGTAGGGGAGTATTTTGCTAGATTTAAGGAATTAAAAATAATTGTGTAAATAATATTTATTGTATAAAATAATTAATTAATAAAATACCAATTATTCACTAAATAAATTAACCTAGAAAATCAGGTTTTCCACACTAGGAAAATCCAAAAATCTTAGTCAATAATTAGGAATTTTCGAACCTTATTAATTAAATAATAAAATATAGTTTTTGCTTTAATTAAAATATCCAAAATATATAAATAATCCAGTTTTTAAAATAAATTAAATTGATGATAAATCTTATCCATAATCTAAAAATAATAATTAGGTTTCGAATTACTTTTAGCGCCAAAATTCAGATATCATTTTGGCTCCAAAATTCAAATAGTAATTTAAATTACTAAAATACCCTTTTTAGGAAATAATAATTAATTAATTAATTTAGAAAATACGTATCAAAATACGGGGTATTACATCACGCCTAGTTGGTGGCCTTTCCCTTGGCTGGGCCTACCAACTCACCACAAGCCCACGCGAGCTAGCAGGCTACTAGCTAGGTTTGCTAGCGTGCTTACGGGCCGATGTTAGCACCGCTAGCATTGGCTTGCTCGCATGCTTGCGGGGTAATGCTAGCGCTGCTAGCTCAGTAAGCATGCATGGTTGCAGGGTTAGCGATGCTTGCTTGCGTGCTCGGACAGCTCGCCAGCAAGCACACATGTGTGGCTGCTGGGCTTGCAGCCAAAGCACGCACAAGTATAGCAGCCTTGCTAGCCTAGCCCTCACATGGCTATGCCATTGCGAGGCTAGGACTTTTGCGCGTTGACTTGTTGTTTGACTTATTCTATCGTTTCGTCGATTGTTTGAATTGACTCGACGTTCGACGCTCTAAGCTCGGAATCCGACATCTGAGTTCGTAAAATCCTTATCAGCTTATTTAATCCTTTTGGATTAATTCGTCGCCTTTGTTTGGTTACACGATTAGGGTGTGACACGTAGGGTTCAATCAAGAGCAAGCGGTAAGATAAATTATACATTAATCTTATTGATCGGAAGCGGCCTCCAGCTAGGCATTCCGATCACTTGATTTCACTAAATAATAGCTTTCCTAATTAATTCCGAATCCTCTATCGAAATAATACACTTGTTCGAAGGATATCATTCCTTTCACTTCCCTGCAACAAAATAAAGTTCAATCCTTTCCCTGCAACTTTTGGCAAACTTCAGTACCCTCCATTACTATTAACTCATTTTGTAAAGGAAAAATTGTCAAAAATAAGTCAACCTTTAGCTGGTTTTCTCAAAGTAAGTTAATCTTTCGATTAACTCAAAATAAATAGACCTTATTACCCCTCTACTTTAAATGCGTTTTTTTACCGGTGCCCTGCTACGAAAATATTAGTAGGTAATTTTTTTTTTTCTTTTTATTTACCTTCAATTCTCACCTTTCGTAAAAAAAATTAAGAAAAGAACCACCCACTAATCAGACCCACGCACAAACCACCTCAAATTCTCCCAGCTCCGATCACTGCCCAAAATTAACACCACTGAGCCGCCCCTTTTCAATTTAATTTAGAGGTGGGAAAGGATGAGAAATTTAGGTATAATAATTAGCATCATTATCCATGATAATTATGGTAAGAAAATTGAAAGCAATCGACAAGTATGAAACATTAAAAACAAAATGCAGCTAAGGCAATGAATATTGAGAACAAAAAAAGTGGAAAAAAAAAAATTAGAAATCTAGGCAAGAGATCTCAGTCAGCTTGCTAATGGCGATAACCTCTAGGGAGTGGAGTAATGGCAATGAATGAGTAGGAAAGTTGGTGATTTCGGGATGGGGAAGGGCGGGAGTGGTGGTTTCGGGGGTTGAGGGAGGGCGGAGTGATGGTTTCGGTTGTGGGGGAATGGGAGGCGGGGAAAGGGAGTGGTGGGCAACTGGTGGCCGGTGGGGAGGTGGGTAGGGGTGGGGGAGCGGTGGCAAGGGAGGATGAGGGGTGGCTGGGGAATGAGTAGGAGAGAAAAAGAGTATTTTTTTAATTAAATTGAAAAAAATTAAGTTTTTTTAAATAATTAATTAAATTATTCATATTAATTAATTTTTTTTTAAAAATGACCAATAAAATTATAACAAGTGGCATATTTTACCATTCATTCAGTTACTCTCTAATTCAACAATTTTAAACTCATTTTGAGAAGGTTTGTTTTTTTTTTTTTTTTTTTTTTCAGACATTATGTGAAGATATCCTCTAAACGTCGACTTATTTTGAATTAATTGATAACTTGACTTATTTTGAGAAGGTATCCTCAAAATAACGACTTATTTTGAATTAATCAATAGCTTGACTTATTTTGATAATACTGATTAAAGGTTTGACTTATTTTTAACAAATTTTTCTTCGGTAAAAACCAAAACTTGAAAAAACTAGTTGAACAAAATGACAAATCCCTCAAACATCTCGAACATTTGAAACCAAAAAAAAAAACAGCAAAACAAAGAAAGAGGTTAGGCAAGTGAAGTTTGCAAGAGGGTATCGTATATTCGTATATTTGTGGGTTTGAATCCGAATTCCGCTAACCAGTCAATTAGTCAGCTCCCTCCTCACAAGTCCAACATGCGTCCAACTTTTCCACCCTTTTAACACATTCATAAAACATTCATATCATTACATTTCCAATTTTATCCCTTCACTCATTTTCTCTCTCCTCCTCCTTTCTCTCTCCTCTCTCCGGCGAATGCCGCTTTTCTCACCGGCGACTTTCTCGCCGTCGTCGGAAACTCCCATACCGCCGCCCACATTCTTCTTCTCTAACCTCTGAAACAACCCTTTTTTTCTCTCTCCTTAAACCGCCATTAAAATGCCGATTCGAGCTCTTCTCTTCCTTCTTTCTCTCTCCTGTTTCTTCTTCTTCTTCTCCACTGCCGCCATTGACAGAGATTTATCCGCGCTTCTCGCCGTCAAATCCGCCATTTCTGTTGAACCTTCTGGGACACTTTCGAACTGGACTGCTAAGACTCACTACTGTGAGTGGCGTGGTGTTTCTTGTGACTCTTCTAATGGTAGAGTGGTTTCTGTTAATCTTACGTTTTTGGGTGGAAATGGTGGTTCTTCTGCTCTCGCCGGAACCCTAGCTTCTTCCGTCGGAAACTTGACGGAGCTTAGGGTTTTGTCGATTGCTAATAATGGGTTTTCCGGCGAGATTCCGGTGGAAATTGGATCTTTGCGGCGTTTAGAGGTGGTTGAACTTCAGGGGAATAATTTCTCCGGGAGGATCCCGAATGAGATAAGCAATCTTACTTCGTTTTCGCTTCGTTTGCTTAATTTATCGTTTAATTTGCTTACTGGGAAAGTTCCGGGTAGTTTAATTGGGTCTGGGAAAATTAGGGTTCTTGATTTGTCTGATAATCAGCTGTCTGGTAAGATTAATGTGGGTCATGATTGTTGGTTTCTTACACATTTGAAGCTTTCGAATAATTTTCTTGTTGGTAATGTTCCTGCTGAGATTGGAAAATGTATGAATTTGAGGACATTGTTGCTTGATGGGAATATTTTGGAAGGTCGTATACCTCCTGAGATCGGCCGTTTGTCGGAACTTAGGGTCTTAGATGTTTCTAGAAATAGTCTTACGGATACGATTCCGAGGGAGCTTAGTAATTGCCGGAAGTTGGCTGTTCTTGTGCTGACTAATTTGGTTGAGTATAGTGATGATAGATCTTTGGATATTTTTAGGGGTGAGTATAATGCATTTGTGGGAGGTGTTCCTGAAGAGGTATTTACGATTCCTGCATTGCAGGTGTTATGGGCGCCTAGAGCGAATATTGGCGGCCGCTTGCCTTGGAATTGGACTAAGTATTGCTCATTAAGAGCTCTGAATTTGGGTCAGAATTATATTGATGGTATTATACCGGAGGGTATTGCAATGTGTAGAAATTTGACTTTTTTGGATTTAAGTTCAAATGGTCTCTCTGGAAACTTCCCTTTGCAGCTTCAAGTCTCATGCATGGTGTATTTGAATGTTAGTTGGAACTCACTTTCAGGTCTTCTTCTGCCATCTGAAAATCATAATTGTGGTGGAGGTGTGAACTTGAAGAGGGATAATTTGTATTATCTCGATGAAGAAGATATTCACAATGTTTACTTCCGTGTCAACACGTGGGATCCTGAATCGAATGTCCAATATGGTGCAATGTCAGATGATAGTCTGGTGATAAAACATGATTTTGGGAGGAACAAATTCACTGGTTCATTGCCTTTATTTTCTTTGTCAGCTGGGTTGTTCGATCTCAATGGTAATGTATCATATGAGCTTTTGCTGAATGAAAATAGCTTCAATGGGTCTCTTCCTGGCAAGTTTTTATCTGGTTGTCAAAATGTTTGTGGTATTTATGTGAATCTGACTGCTAATAAGATATCTGGGGAGATATATACAACGCTACTTCAGGATTGTTTGGAGCTAAAAAGTTTTGAAGTAGCCCAGAATCAGATGTGGGGGTCAATTTCATCAGATATCATTAAATTGAATATGCTTAGTAATCTTGATTTAAGAGAAAACCAGTTATCTGGGCCTCTACCTAAGCAGTTGGGAGACTTGAAATCTCTGAAATCACTACTTCTTGGCAGGAATAACTTCACTGGGGAGATTCCTCCACAACTTGGTCAATTGACTAACCTTGAGGATTTGGATCTGTCCGAAAACAATCTCAAAGGACCAATTCCTAGTGCATTGGCAAATGCAAGCAATCTAAAAGTTCTTTTGTTGGATCACAATGTGCTTACGGATGACATACCTTGGTCATTCTCATCCTTGTCCCATCTTGTGGAGTTGGATGTTTCATTTAACAATCTCACGGGTCATATTCCGCACCTACAAAATATAAGTGATTGTGCAAGCTTCAAGGGTAATAGATTTCTGCATTCATGTCCTGATCCTTATTCGGTACCACCAGCTGGTCTGCCAGTTCCCCTTGAAGTTGAGAAAGTGCACCATCGAAGGAAAATGAAATCCTTAATAATTGCAGCAGCGACTTCTGTCTCAGTTGTAATTGCCGTTATCCTAGTGATAGTGCTTGGGCTTGTTTTTGGCAAAAAGAAGCTGGGTAGACTCACTTGCCTGAGAAGAAAAGTAGTTGTGACTTTTGCTAATACCCCAGTAGAATTGACTTATGATAATGTGGTGAGTGCAACTGGGAATTTTAGCATTCGGAACTTGATTGGTACTGGTGGGTTTGGTTCAACTTACAAGGCTGAACTTGTCCCAGGTTATCTTGTAGCTGTTAAAAGGTTGTCCATAGGCAGATTCCAAGGGATCCAACAATTTGAGGCAGAGATTAAGACGTTAGGGAGAGTTAGACATAAGAATCTCGTCACCCTAATTGGATACTATGTAGGAGATACTGAAATGTTTTTGATTTACAATTATCTTTCGGGGGGAAACCTCGAGACATTCATACATGACAGATCAGCAAACAATGTTAAATGGCCAGAAATTTACAAGATAACAGACGATGTAGCTCATGCCCTTGCCTACCTTCACTATTCATGTGTTCCTCGAATAGTTCATAGGGATATCAAGCCAAGCAATATTTTGCTAGATGAGGAGCTTAATGCCTATCTCTCTGACTTTGGGTTAGCTCGGCTGCTTGAAGTTTCTCAGACTCATGCCACAACTGATGTTGCAGGCACATTTGGTTATGTGGCACCAGAGTATGCAACCACATGTAGGGTTTCGGACAAGGCTGATGTTTACAGCTTTGGTGTTGTGCTTTTAGAATTGATGTCAGGGAAGAAAACTCTTGATCCATCATTTTCTGAGTATGGTAATGGGTTCAATATCGTTGGATGGGCCATGTTACTGATGGACGAGGGGCGGTGTTCTGAGTTCTTCTACTTGGAATTATGGGAAGCAGGGCCTGAAGAGAACTTGTTGAAGATGTTGCAGCTTGCGTTGTCATGTACTGTGGAGTCGCTTTCTATTAGGCCATCAATGAAACAGGTTCTTGAGAAATTGAAACAACTGAGTTCCTGATGGCACAATGTGCTGTTCAATCAAAAGCATCTTGGTGTACTTTATGATACATCCACTTGTCAAAAATACATATTCTTGAAGTCAAGGTATAACGTCTTTTCATTTTTAATATAATATGTTCTTAAATTACTTTCCAGTTGCTACTCTGTTATTATGTGAAGGGTTCTCCATCTATGATGCATATCGCATGGGACAAAACCTGTAGGGGCACTTTTGTTTCTCCTTCTTATCATGTTTTTACGAGGAATCTTGTTTTACGCTATGCTAGGAGGAGCTTAGTTATCATTATTTATCAATAGTTTAATACTCTGCTGCAAGTCCTAGCTCTAAGATGTTTTCTTGTTTTTTTCTGCACTGAATTGTAGACAAGTTCAGCTGGAGGCAATGGCATTATCAGAAGTAAGGCAGGAGACCAAGTTTGTATCGGACAACTTTGGTCACTTAATGTTGTGGGATTTTGTACCCGTCCCTTGCCAGGTAGTTAGCCATTCATAGCCTTCTACAGGCTGCCTTTGCTTTTGTTGAATTTAAGATCTTGTGATTTCACTGGGGTCATTCAATGTACTATTGTAGATGTTTACATGTAAGGAGATGAGTTGATGTTCAATGTTCTCTCATGCCTTTCTTCAGGGACAATTCCTGTTTATCTATTCAGCACGGGATGGCTACCCACATACAGCAGAGGAGCGTAGTCAACTAGTCATTGAATATATATTCTTATGAGAATTGCAAGTCTAAGGTCACACGTTGAAACAGAATCAGAATTCTTGGATGTGATATGGTTAGATGCCCCTAGTACACTGAATTTGTTAGTTGTGGAATATATATGAAAGTATGCTTTCTTTGTGTATATTGTATCCGTTTATTTGGTAATTTGATCTAATAGCTAAAATTGTCCAATTTTTCAGTTGAGGAGAAATGAAAGGCAATATGCTGTCAGCTTTTGGTGAAAATGATCATAGACAGTAGGTAATCTCTCCTCGTCAATGTCATGATGCATTAACTTCCCATTTAGCATTTTAGTTTGCCTCAGCTGTTAGACATTTATACTTGTTAGACACTACTCCCTTTGTGCCCTTAAAAAGCTTCACATATTTCTTTTTGGGATGTCGTAAAATGAACTTAATGTTTCCATTTCAAGTAAATTTTACCAAGTAAAATCTAAATCATACTGTACATAGTATTTTTTTTTCCCCTCATCAATACTTTTTTCTCCATCCCAACTGTGAAGTATATTGAGGGGGTTGGAGGTAGTATTTGTTTGCATTAAATTGAGACTTCTAATATCTGCAGGTGAAACTGATTCCACGACTAATTGCTTATTGGATAAAAACTATGAGTCTACGACTAGCAAACTTCCAAGATAGCCATTGTGTTGCATGATGATGGCATATAAGACCAGCACATCGAAGAGGACCTGTTAACTGCAGTATAAATTTTAAATAAATGGCCTGCAATATAAAGCTTTTATGTTTTCTCTAGCCGGCAGAAAATCTGAAGTCTGCAGTTTTCCATGTATGGTAGACAGGTTTTCCAGCTAGTACCCCTGTATGATTTTATGCAGTTTATATGTAAAGGAAAACTTGACTCATGACCGGCAAAGAACCTGACTATCATTTTTGTAGCCTGATGGCCCTGATGAGCACAGTTTTGCACAGATGCATTTCTGCCATCAGACCATCAATGTTAAAAGGGCATGTTATGGTCAGTTATCCGACATTTCTCTACATATGTAGTTTAATTTTTGAATCGTGTCTTCAGGCTAAGATGTCAGTGGAGAATTCCAGCGTGCCCATTATGCTGTAGCCAATTTCATTTGCTTATGTTGTAAGTTGACTTATGTGCAAAAGATCTAATAAATAAAAAACTACTACGTATTAGCTAAGAACTCTCATCTAAATGTATACAGAAATATGTTTCAATAGGATTATATCATTAAGCTACTAGCCAACAAATACAATACCCACAAATGCATGTGTCTATTGAGTCTCTTCAATATCCCTGCAATTGGTGCCTATCTATCTGCAAGCTTGCAACATAGATTTAGATCCCAATGGAAAAGTACACTGCGCCTTCAGTCATCACACCACTCATCGCCCCGACTTGCTTTTTTAACAATTTCCTCTGTGGTGGTGCCAATGAAATCATTAGCCTTCTTCACATCAACAGATGAGTACCGGTCAGATTGATCCTGCGTTAAAAGATAGATTGAAATATAACCCCTGTATTTGTATCTAAAGCAGTACCACATGGTTTAGTCATTCACTCTCGTGTCAATAGTTTATTATACATAGAGATGACATAAAATTAGCTCTATCTATACGTTCAATATGATTTATTGATCTCTGTCACACATACTAATTCATTAATCCAACATACAAATATGAAAATTCATAAAATACATTGATTTAAAAATTCATTAATCCAACATACAAATATGATTTAAAAATTACTCCATATTTTTGTTTGCAAATAGAATTAAGACTACATATTAAGAATTTTTCGATGTTAAGAAAAACGATTACAATTAAGAGTTATATTTGAAAACTATCTTATATAACTTTATACTCATACAATCGTAAATTTGTTCTTATTAATATTTTCGAGTTTGTGCATTTGTTCAAGTTTTAATTTTTAAGGCTAGTTGGAATTTATAAATAAAACAAAAGGATATTAAATGAATTTCTTACCTTATAAACAATACCTAGTTTCTCTAACTTGTCAATAGCATCATCTACATCAAAGTCACATTGTTCGTTAAATTGCTCTAATATCAGCTCCTCACATTTCCGGTCAAGGTCCTGTTTCAACATTCCATATTCAAGTCGAATTAACCAACAAAGTCGTAAATTTGTACAAAAAATCTTAAAAAAAAAAAGGTAAGCATTTTATAGTGAGAATGATTCTTACTTCACAGGTAAATTTCCCATACTTCATCAACACGAAGAATGCAATAATAACCTCTTTAACCTGTACAAACAACAAAAACCTTTAAAATCTGGGAATATCTATATGGAGTTAAATAATCGACAACAGAAAGATAACTATAATTTGTATCGATGTGGAGTTATATAATAAACCACAGAAAGCTTACTATAATTTGAGTCCATAACTTACTTCTTGTTTCAGGACATTATCACATAGATGAAGTAGAGTGCCTCTCCCACTGTCTAGTTGTTTGTCATACATGGACTGTGTGATTAAACTATGATAGTCTTTCAAATTTGCCTGAAACCTGAGAGAATTAAACCAGAAATAAATGTTAAACAAGTGTAAAAGAAATCCATATATTGAAGATTTTTTTAGATTAAGAAGATTAATTCCTCGAGAGTAAAAAAATAATACAAGTATTAATAAAATTAAAAATTGCAAGCACTTTGTGCATATTGAATAGAGTAAATACATTAAGATTCAGAGGAAGAAGTACTTAACGTGAAATATATCTTAGTACAATAACAAACCACCGCAGAGCAGACAGTAGCCAACACTTTTAGATTAGCTGTAGTCTGGCAGAGTTGGGTTATAACCGTCACCTGATAATATAGCACATTTTGTTTGGATGAGCAATCTACAAAGCTAACAAGTGCATGATAGCTTTCTATTTTAAAACAATCATCTTTTAAATTACTTAAGGCAAATCTGGCAATGATGTATCCACATTTTGAAACACATACTCAAAGTAATGGTTAAACACTTAAATTTTACAACTTTAACCATCAAATTCAAATATGGCATATTACTTATAAAAAGGAAAAAGTTACCAGTCCAATGGCAGCTGAAACAAGGAGTTTGAACCAGTCATATGAAGTTAATCCTGGACTCTTCTTTTCAGGCTTAAAAAAAAAAAAAAAATTGATATTGTTAAAAGGCATACAACATAATATATATGGTTCAAAACAACAAAAAGAAGTGTTTGAACATACTAGAACAATTTCCATATCAGCCATGGGGATGTGTTTGAAGTGCTTTACATAAATTGCTCTTCCGTCTTCAGTTGATTTCAATCTGCAGGGTTTCTACATGTAAGAAGGTATAAGAAATATTCTTTGCAGGTTATAAGATAGCAGGTTTTCAGTTTTCAAGAAGGTATGTATCACTTGTGTTAAAGAATCACAGCTGAAGAGGATTCTTCTACAGATGATAATTCGTTTTTTTTTTTTTTTTTTTTTTTTCCAAACCCTGTTGCAAAACAGTAGTAACATTCCATCCTTCAAATTAAAAGATTTATTAGAATTTGACCTCAATACACTTCACTATAGTTGAACCAAACACATACTCCCTCATTCATTGCCTCCAAAAGAAGCATCCCCTCAAATGTTGGCAAAATTAAGCACAGGATTCTGAAGAAAAATTACCTGTATATAATTATAATCTTCTCGAAGGTTGGCTCTTGGATTGTTGTTTTACTGAGTAGGTTGCAAGGACTGAGTAAAAGCAGAATGTCAAAAAATAGTCAACGCAACAGATATGTGAATAGATGCAATTATCTATCACTCTATTAGCAACCAGGTTAGCCTTAGGCCAACAGGCAAAGGTAGATAATAATTTAAGGACCTAATATCGCAACAATACCAACTGCAGGCTGCAGCAACAATAACCCACAGCATGCAAGCTTAGTCTCTAGCAAGTCTAGACTAAAGAAGTAATCAGTAATCTATGTTTAAAATTTATATGCTCTCTAGTTTCAATTTTAAGTTGTTCCACTTTGACTTGCACGTGTGCCAACATACAACTTTAACCGCCAATATATATAATTATTTTAAGTGTAAAAGTAAAAAAAAATTGAAAATATTCATTGACGCAAATTCGATAACATTTTAATCTAACATATTAATTTGTCCGTTTAACTTTATAGCTGCAACATATCTTCTAGGCATGCTATTTGCGGAAGGAACTAGAGAAGATAAAGTAGCATATATTAATCTAAATTATTTGAACCATCACAACTTGACACTTTTTCTCTTATCGATGTTAAAATTATTCTAATTAATTTGTCCGTTTACCTTTCCTAAACCGCGTACCAAAATGGTATATATAATAAAGAAACGGAGGATGTATGTTTTCAATGTCTAAGAACAAAATATGGACAAAGTGAGTTTTATACTTCTATAAATAGTATTAACAGTCCAAAAGGGAGTAATGCACCAACTCAGCCTTTCTATCAGCATTCACGAATTTACTATTAATCTGTCATTTGATTTTGTGACCAGCAACATGTGCTTGGTTTTATGGACCTTTAGTAACTTCAGTTACAATGCATATAGATAATAACAACAATAGTTTTACCAAGTTTTTCAATGTAACTCATCCATAAGCTAAGTTGAGATCTGGTAAGCATGGAAATTGGAAACAAGCAGGTTTCTCTCAAGTAAAAATTGCTTCCATTAATGTAGGATGAAAAACTCCTAAGCATGCATATTAGGATTGAAAAGGCATGGATTTTCATATGTTCTTATGCCAGAGAACTTCAGTAGATTTAGTGAAAAAGGTAAAATAATACTACTACTTGTATTCACTATTGCCCTATCAGCAAAAGAGGAATATGAGTCTCATTCAAACCTGAGATTCATATTCTGAATACGAATCCTTTCAATTAATAAGCTGTGTTCATCACCACCACCATCATCACCATCATCCTTTTCACCATTTTCTGTGACTAAAACTTCATGCAGTTCTTCATTTTTCACATGTCGTAATCTTCTCTTTCTTGAGAATAACTTACTCAGACTGCACCAAAACACATCCAAATATACCAGGTTTTAAAGCAAGGATATTATTTCAACAAGTAATCTGCTCCAAATAAATATAATAAAACCAAGTGAATAGCAGGGGGAGAACCTGATGGGAATTAAAAAAAAAATACAATATAAAAGAAAGGAGAACAGAATTATTCTGCCTTACTGTAATATACGTAGCTGTAACGTTTACTTACAAGTCAATCAAATCTACCATAACCATAAAGTAGCCGTTCTGCTCTTTCTTTCTTTTTCTTTTTTTTTTGTTCAAATTTTTTTTATTTTTTTTTATTTTGGTAGAATCAGCAACAAGTAGAAAGTACAGGAACAGAGGACAAGATATCCTTGTAACTTAAAAAAAGCAGATTACACCCAATATCCCCAAATAAGTAACTAAACTCCCCCCACTGCCTTAGCCCACAAAGAAGCCCTATCCCACAGCAAATCAGCACTCAAAGTGGTTCCTTCGAAAATTGATGCTTTCCAATTTATTTAACTATAAACACCACAGAAACGATATAAGAGCATTAAACTACTGGCGTAATGTCTAGAGAAAGTTGAAAAATAAACTTTACTTGAACCTTAGGGCAAAGCCACCCAATAAGGTGAACTACTGAGCATTGATTGGCATTGAGAGAATGGCCAAGAAAAGTTTGGTCAACCCCAGGGCAAATTCGCCCAATAGGGTGCACATTGACATTGAGAGCATGGCAAAGGAAAATGTTGGCTGTAGGAAAAATGAACTCTAGCTAATACAGTATGAGGTGTGCATCATGTCTACTTCTGACATAAAAAGACATTGTACTATAATCTTTTCATTCTATTCCTTCCATCACCAACACTAGGTATATCAAACTATAGATAACAACATAAAAATAAGAATTGCTTTTTTAAATTGGTAACCACCTCAGATAAAGTTTGACATATGTGTGAGAAGTTTGATTGTAAGGAATCCATACGCATAGAACTCTTAATAGCCAAATTTCATAACACATTACAAAGTTTTTTACAAATGCTAAAAATTTCTTATTACAGTAACAGTTTGGACATTCAAGTGTAGCAGTATTAGCTTGGTATTAGATCTTCAATGATAAGAGGTACCAACACAATATTATTCTCAGATAAGAACATCAATGAGAAGTGAATTGGGTGACTGACATTGAATCAGAAATTTTCGATAACATTTTTATTTTTTTTAGATTAAGTTCATTTATGACCCCCTTGATAGAATTTAGACCCTCAAGTTAGAATGAGGGAAGGAAACAAAATCAACAACATTGCAGTTTATTTATTTGCTTGACTTACCCAGTCAATCTCAAAAAGCCTTGCATGATTCGTGAAATAAGAGCATCGATTTTCCATTGAACAAAGTAACCAGTCTTTTGATCCATTCCAAAACCACGCCGAAAAATTATGTACTGCATAAAGTTAATTAACTAGATGAATATCTAAAAGGAAACAAGAAATATACTCAATAAACCCCATAGGCATTTCAAAAGGAAAAACTGTATTACATTTCCTTCATATGGATAACTCACATCCTACGTAATTGAACAAAACACTATCAAGTATCAACCATGCCAAAACATGGCTCTTCAGCTATATATTCATCTATAAAAACATGATATCCCACATTTGACTCTTGAACTTTTGACTTCAAATAAAATTTCTATCACCATTTGTTAGTAAAATGATCTAGTTTGATGAAAGATTTTGAAAAGTGTAGAGATAACTTTCGCCCTTCTAATCAAAGCAGAATTATATCAAATCACAGATCAAAAATAAATGTCAAATGACATTGCTTAAAAAAAGAAAGGTATTACTTTGTACTTCGTGTTCAATAACACAATCAGACTAACTCCACACTCAATTTCTGGGTAATCACACACACAATTAAAAAGACATCTTTATAATGGTATTTCTTAAACAAAAGATATAGGTTATATATTGCTGATCGCACTCTTGAAAAGAAATAGAACTAACAAAAACAAGTTGACCCTTTATCATTTTTTTGACCCTTTTGTTAATGTCTTAAGAAAGGGGCTGGCAAATTTTTCTGGCAAACTCCTATATCTTCTCACTAGATATATATGAATTATCCATAGATTTTCACTATTGTCAAGGTTCATGAAGGTCTCTGGTCTAAAATTCTACACGGATAAGAGCTGCGTAGAATTAAAATCTGCCTTGAGCTGAAAAGATTTCCAACTGTGACCTTTTTTGACATTCTGCTCTTATCTGTGTAGAATATTAGACGGAAAGCTTTTCAGCTGCTACTGCTGCTGCTGCTGCTCCTCCTACTCCTACTCCCCCTTCAAGCGTCCTACACAAGACATCTACCACCAAAAACACAAAAGATGATGATGAGAAAGCCCAGAACCACCTCCTAAGCCTCCCTTTTAACTAAGCTAAAACACACAAAAGAAAGACACCCCCAAACCCATCTCCTCCACCTAGGACCAAATGCATTCAAGAAATTTTATCATCAGCTTACTTAAAAATCAAGCGTAAACTGCACACCCCTACAACAAACATCCACCAAGACAAGAGCCAACAAAGCCGCTTCCAATATTTGTCTATCCCCCACAAAATCACTTTGGTCAATAAAATATGTGTAAGATAAGGTAACATTCAGCAGTACAGTTACAGAGAACTGAATCTCATAAACAACAGTATGCAGAGTAAGTGACCCAGAATCTTTTACTACAATAGACCATTGCTTCTTTAGAACAAGTCACACTTATCTCTGTTAGCACTTAGTAGCCCTTCTCCCCACATAACTCTATTGTTTAAATAACAATACCTTCATAATAGGAATCTTATGTAATTCCAATTCCGAAGTTTTTTTTTATAAAAACTTACAGAATTTTGGTGGGATAAATCAATATGGAATGTTAATATCTATTTCACCTCTTTTATTCTTTTCAAATTATAGTTGCAGAAATTGATAGTTTGATGTTTTCTTTCACGCAAACTTTTTAATCATCCAGAAAGGCCAATCTTCAGATAGCTAAGACTCGTATGAGAAACATTGCCATTTCCGTGATATGTATTACTAATTGGAACTTGCAAGTTCCATAGCAATCTTTAGTACAAATTTGAAGGACTGACAGTGACAAAAGAATCTATTTATTTAGCTATGATTTGGAATATTTCAAAGGAGCAAAACAATGCACTCCCTCCATTTCAAAAGTTCGACTCACTTTTTAATTGGGAGTGTTTCAAAATGTTTGATTCACTTTTACTTACTCTCTCTCTCTCTCTCTCTCTCTCTCTCTCTCTCTCTCTCTCTCTCTCTCTCTCTATCCATTTTTATTAAGTGTAGGATGTCAAACTATTGGGTATCATCTATAAAGGTAAACTCAAGAGGATCACAAACCCTCCACTCTTTGCAATTTTAGACATATATCTAGACATCATGGAAACAATGAATCTTAAATTTTAAACTTCTACTCTTTTATGCGAGTGTATATGTGTTTGGATAGGGCAGAGGGCTTTAACCAACTTACTTCCCAATCAAAGACATACAGAATTTCAAACTAACATAAAATTCCCATTCTAAGCCTTTCATCATTCCCAATGACGTCAATGAGTTCCCATGAAGATGCATTGTATGAAAGTTTTGCAGGAGGCAATGTTACATTTTCCCAAAAATATGCCATTTGTAAATGAGAAGTGAGAAGTATAGTGATAAATGAAACTTAGTCCAATTCCAATATAACTTACTCCCTATGTTGATAAAATATCTTAGCATCGTTCCAACCCATCATGTTTAACAACACACCAATTTGAAACCCCTTAAGCCTCTGTCCCTCATTCAATCACATTGAAGGGCATAAAAAATATATATACAAAACTAAAAGCATTATATGTTACCTATTTTAAATATGCAACCATATTTTTCATACCTCTTACAAAAGTATAAGTGACTATGAATTTTGGATGGAGATGCATTGCATGTAAAATGGAAAGTGGGGAGTTCACCTTTACATTAACTTATTAATTGTATAAACCAACACATAAGCTCAGCCATCCTCCACACCAAATGACCACAAAATTAATGATGCAATTTACTAACAGAATTGTTTATTTGGTCATCGAAGCGTAGTGATCATATTTTCTAAACTTATTTTCGTATTTAATTTATTATGTTATCCCACTAATGTTTAATGAACTGTATTGTTTTCCTTTGCTAAAGTTTTCTCAAACCTTTATGTTTTTTACTCCAACGTTTTAACCACTCTTTTAAAACTCTCTTGAATTTAATTCTTCGTTCTCTTTCAAATAATATTTCTTGGATGCTTTTTCGTTTTCTCACTCTATTCACCTTTTTTTCAAACTCTTTCAAATAATTATCTTGTTATGTTTCTTTTTGTATATCGTACGGTTCCTTATGACGATTCATGTTAGCCGACCCCAAACAATAGCCAGCAAAATAAACTTTTAAAGAGCTTAATTCTATTAGTATCATAGTATGTGTCAAGGAGTGAAAAAAAAAAAGGTGTTTTGTTATGTACCTGGTTAGCAAAGGAGGGAAGGTTATCTTGGGGATGCTTGGAAAAATACCTCTTCAAAAGTGTTGTGTCTAGCTACAGAATGAACAAATGTAAAGATCCAGTAGTTAGGAAAAATATGCACCAAAATAAGACATACTGAACCAAATAGAATATATGAATAGCAAAAGAAGACAACAGACAACCAAAGATAGTTCAATTAAATAGCTTTGCTCATTGATTCCACTTAAGAATTTTCATTATTGTATGCAAATACAACATGAAAGACACCTAAATTTCTTTTGAATTTAGTCTCAAAATGACATGGAAGATTTAATATATTATGCAATGTCTAGGTACCTAATCTATTAAAAAGCACTTGTGAAAATTGATGAGAGCATGGACTACAACAAACCTTAGCTTCATCAACTTTGATTGGAAGATTTAGACAATAATTCTCAGATGCAGCAACTTCAAACTCCTCATTTGTCACCATCTTGAAATTGCTTTTATCCAACATCTTGAAAGACAAAGTGGAAATAATTGTCAGGAAAGGATTGTAATCTTATTTTTTACTTCAAGAAAAAACAAGTAGTCTTTAACTCTTTATGTGAAAATCTACATCTATCCTAATATATCAAATTACAAACCTGGTCCCTATGGACACATCACTTTTTATTGGCCCTTTCTCCTGTAATAACTATATTACAAATGTATAACTAAACCTTTTAAGTTACCAAATGATGGCAACTTTATACAATATTTTTTATATATACATTAGTAACCTCACTCCCATCACTACACTCTTCTTTGTCACCGCTACACAACCCATTGAACTAGTTGACATATAATAACTATATCTATTTGGGTTCTGTTGCAAACAGGATCTAAAATGACTTAATGTCTTTGCCTGAATTACACTTTAGTTACTAGCTAACTCATCAGAGTTATACTGAGAAATTAAGAATTGTGTGTAGTCACTTAAGCTATGGCTCAATAAATAATTCAACCTATTAAGTGTGAATAAGACAAAGGCAATTTGATCATTTTGGAACTTTTTACTTGAATTTCTGCCGAAGGTAGTGAGATAAATGCACATGCATCACAAAACATTTTTGTTTCAATAGAGTTATATAGTGCGTTTTTTTTTTTCCAAAATTACTTTAAAATTGATTTATTGTCAAATTATCCAAAAATAAGATAACATAATGTTGAAAAATGACAATAAAAGTTATTCAAGACTCGTCATATTTGGTGATTTTTTTTTAAGCATAACCAATTAGCTTGTTTAAAACAAATAACTGTCGCAGCCAATAATTAACCCACCAAAATAAAGGTCATAAAAACTTTGCAAATGTGTATGGTTAACCTGTATAAAACTCCCTATGTATTACATTGTATTGCATAATTACATTTGACATTAAAATTAACAATATTGGATGGCGAGATAACAAAAATAAGGAAAGTGCAGAGTCACCTTCATTTCAGTACCCATTACAGAATAATACATAGTAATTAAAAAAAAATTAAAAAAAAAAAAAGATCAAGTTTACAAGGTTATAAGGGGCTTAGAAATTGTAGGTGATCAATGCCAATGGTAGAAGATAAGTGAAGGCAATGTTGACTAGACCTGATAATGAAATTCATAGGCTAATTCTTTCAGAGGCCAGCTAGTGATACCAAAGAAATCTCTGCAGCGAGTTTTGTTATAATTTAGGAAGAGAAGGAAAAGGGAGGGGAGGGATGAAGTTTGCTTCCATTTTCTTTCCAATACTGGAAGGAGTTGGTTAATGTTAATTAGAAGGGGGGAAATCAGGGCTGCAATGGCTTATTTGAGACAATCTTATTTTATATTTTGAAAATTATATTCCAATTTTATAGGATAAAATTTCAATGAATTTGATCCCTGGAAATTCTTTCCCTCCTCTTCACCTATTTCCAATAGAGGAAAAAAAGTCTCTTACTTTTCCCCTTCTATTTTTTTCAAAATATGTCATGAAAATGATTCCAAACGCACTACAATCCATGCAAGTCCATTGAAGGTCACTTTTTCTTGGTTAGAGAATAGGAAACTCCAAATAAATAAATCACATTATTGTCCCTAAATTGATATAGTTATCTTGGATTTTAACAACAACAACAACAATAAATAAAAAAAATAAAAACCCACATCAAGGGAAGCTTAGATTAACTTTTAAAATCCAAAATTTTTTTTGCCTTTGTAACAATAACCACCTTCAGGTAGACCCAAACAAACTCTTATGTTATTTCATTTATAAAATTGTTCATTACAACACAAGAGTTAAATATTTCTAAGCAATGATATTGGGTTACTGATTCTGTGTTTCTAAGTTTCCAATTCCTATTGGAAATCATGCTTTCACATTTCTACCTTCACACGACAGCTTTACTATTCTTATTGAAAAGTATGCATTAACATTTCAGCCTTTCTATGATTGCATTACCTGTTTCAGTTGACATGTTAATAGACTCATCACTCATCATCACAAAACAAGTGCATGTATTTAATTAATTTGGTAAAGAAAGTATTGAGTTGAAATCAGAAAGGTAATACCTTAAATAATAGAACAAGAAACTTCTCCTCGACTACTTCAATTTTATCATCGGGAAAATTGCACTCTTCCAATTTGCGAGCTCCAGTAACCGGTTCAAAAAGTTTGAATAATTGCTATCATTACAAAAATCAAGCACATATTCATCCAGCTGTTAATCAAAATAATCATACAAAGCATAATCTACACCTTAATTGAGCAAATTATACCGTATAAATTACCATCAGTTCTTCAAATTGTAAAAGATACCAAGCTCGAATCGTGTAGTCAACTCTATTACAAAATGTTAAGAATTCTGCCCTCTCCGACTCACTTTCTGCCAAAAATTAACAAAAAAATGAAACATACTTTCTCTATTCAATCCTATATAATAATATAGAAGAATCATTTTTTCAACTTTTCACAAACCTCCAATGGTCTCCAAAACCCCAATCTTAGGCTTTTAGCAATCCTAAATGGCTAAACACTTCATCCTAAATACTTGTACTAAAAATTAAATACTCCCCTTGTTTCTTTTTTACATTCCTATTTTGACTATGTTCATGTGTCACCGATTTTACCATTGATATCTCTAATTATGTAAGACGAATCAGACTATACCTTTTTTTTTTGAATCCAAATCAAACAATACCTCACAATCTCACATTAGCTATGTCTTAGAAATTAATTCATAATGTTTTATCAAATTGTGAATAACTGAGATTCTAAAAACAAATTTGAAAAAAAAAAAAAAAAAAAAGGAAGTCAAAACTTTTCTAAATAAAACTTTTCATGCATCACATATTTATCTAAATTTATACAACAGAAACCAATTAATATCACATGATAACCTTTTTTTCTTACATTACATCATAGTTGTCTACATTTATACAACAGAAACCAATAACCCTGTACGAAGTATAAACGACTTTTCCAATTGGTACACAATCTACTCAAATATATTATTCGTTACACATAGTACCTCAATTTTTGGCTTTATTGTTATAATAATCTCGCAAAAAAACGGGGAAAAAATAAAAAAAAAAAAAAGAAAAAACCTTCAACCCGTTTAATCAAGTATTCAACTGTTACGGAGTAAGTACGTTACACGTTCTTGAATCTTAATATTACATGAAACTCAAATTGTATTTTCTCTCGTCTTCTCCGCTTTCTAACCTGAACAGCTGCTTCAATTCCTAATTTTCTCATGATATTCATGAATACATCCAAAATTCTTCTCTAAAAGTAGTAAAGAGGAAGCTGAATTCGCCATGGAAATAAAGAGAAATGAAGTTTTGCAGGAATAAAAATAGATTTATAGTTGTATTTAGAAGTATCAAAAACTGGCTTAAACCGACTAACTTAACCTGAAAGTGAACCAATCCAGAATTCAACCTTCCTTGAAAGTTGGGCACAATGGTTTAGCACGACTCAAATTCGAATTAAATTCAAAACCTGAATTAGACCAAAACCCGACTCAACGACCCGAATTGACACCTCTAACTCCCTAAGATGACTTGTATTAACGTCTTGCTCACTAAGACAAGTAAGACAAATAAAGGGTACTATTAATTAGCATTATCGAGGATGATTACAACTAAATTAGCCCCGCAACTTAGTCTAATGGAAGTAATGGCCAAATTGACTCCATAAGTTTTAATTTGTAGCAAATTAACGCCGAAACTTTAAATGTAACCACTACAAACGAATACAACAAGTAGCTACTAGCTCCCAAAACTAATTGCTCGAAAACAATACACAAAACAGAATTCAACTTTTAGTGAAATATTAAAATGAAATAGAGCAAAAAAAAAAAATTGCAAAAACAAAAGAATTCAGAGAAGAAGAAAACATTACCAATGAGTTGGGTTAAACCATGAATCAACTTGGGCTTAAAAATGGGAATTACAGACTCACGGTCTAATCGAATAAACTCCTTCTTCTTCATTTCTTCAAACACACAAGTCAAGCCAATGAATGTACCAAAACTTGTGCAATTATCAAAATCCAACACCACAATTATTAATTTGGTTGAGACATTAATTAAATAAAAGGGTCAATTTAAAAAGAATATTCAAGAGACGTGAAGAGATATTGAGTGATGGGAAATCGGGAAGCAAAGATTGAGATAAAAAAAATGGATGAAACCCATTTTGGCAGTTACTGTCAAGAGTGGTCTCTTACAATATTCCAGAATTTTGCACATGGAAAATGAAGTCTTTTTCTAAGATCATTTCCAAAGTAAGCTTTGTTACAAAACTATTTTGTAAATTAGACTCGTGGTCAAACTATTTTGTAACTAAGCTTCTAAGGTAAAATGTCATCTCGAACAGCGTTTAATACTCTGGGTTTTTTTTTAAAAAAAAAAACAATATGTAAAACGCTGCCTGAGACAGCGTTTTACATGTGGACTTTTTTTAAAAAAAAATTCGTAACTTTTTATTTTAAAATAAAAAAATAATTACACCTGTCTCGGACAGCGTTTTTAGTGTAAATATTTTTCTTTTTTTTTTAATTCTTAATTTTTTATTTAAAAAAAATGATTAATTTTATTGCACTTTTTCCATGGAATCTCTAATTGCAGGTCTATTTCCTTCCAATCTTCTTTTGGTGTTTCGTTCAACTTTTTTTTATCAATTTTTTATGATTAATTTGATTGCACATTTTCACTAATTACACTAATTTACACGTGTTTTTTTCATAAATTCTTAATTTTATACTATTTTCAAGAGTGTATTTAATGCTTAATGTAGGGCTACATATAGCATTACCCTTGATTTGAATTCCTCATTTATCTTAATTATTTTCCCATAAAACCCTTATTTAAATGGTCTAAAGTAATAAGTGGTTTGAATGTGTTTTATTCCCAAAAAGGATGGTCTCATTATATTTGAATGGTCCAATTATACTTTATTTTAAAATTCTTCCATTACCTTAATTTACACAAAAGGTTTCAAGTGAGAAAATCATTTTAAAACAGATAGAGAACTTTCTACTATTCCTTCTAAAATTATGTGTCCGGAAAAATTGAGCAAGTAATGAAATTCAAAGGGAGTAATAATTTATTATTATATTTTTTTTACAGAGAATTTGTATTAAAGTTGACATACTATTGTATAATACACACGATGTGTATATCAGATTTTTAAATTTACAAGCTACGAGACACACGCTACGTCTGTACGATATAGGAAATTTATTATTTTACTCATAATATTGTTAATTTGTTATTGTAAATTTTTTTTGAAAATCAATACTCACATAAAACTTTAAATTAAAGATCTTAAAAAAAAATTAGACAAAAATAAATTTACTCCACTTCTTGTATCTTAACCTTAAAATATTGTTGATTGTTGAGTTTTTTGTATAAAAGATTCAAGACATATAGTAAACATCTACAATAATACTACGTATATAGATTAGATAGATGTACATTTTTTTTCTTTTTATTTTCTTTTTAATACATGAGTGTTTTTTATTTTTCTTTGTAACAAAGATGAACGTGGTATTTTTTTTTTTTTTTTTGACAAGGAATGTGGTATATGTTGGCTGTATTGGTGGTTTGTTTTTTTTTTTGGGTGAAGGAACTATATTGGTATTAATTTTCTTATTTTGATAAAAATATGTGCAGTTATCTGTTATCAAAGTTAAACGTGGTTCTTTTCAATAAAACAAAAAAAAAAGGGTGGTTTGTGGGTAGTTAGTTTTTTTTTTTCTAAAAATAAAATTTATGAAAAGTAGATAATTGTTTTTTTGTGTTTTTTTTTTTTTGTGAACGCTGTAAAAGGGGAAACCATGGATACTCATTGTCAATCATATGACTCGAACTCGATTCAACATGTATAGATGGGGAAAGATCATAGCGTATGAGGGGAATGATATGTATGGAGAAAGCATGTAAGATGAAGGTGTGTGAATGTGGAAAGTGTTCAAGAAGGAAAGTGTGAGATATGTAATGTATGGAAAGGTGATGTAGAAGGAAAGGGTGTATTTGTGGAAAGGTATGGAAATTTCCATGAATAGAAGGACCCTCAACTCGAATGACAGGAAGGATGACTCATGCATGGATCTAAGACATGGGCATGATGTGAAGAAAGTATGTACAAAGTGTGTGCAAGGACTCGTGAGTGAAAGTGATATGTACAAGACTCGTGTGATGACCATGGGACTAAATATGTGATTAGACTCAAACAAAGACCAAGTTAAGACCTCGTGTATTTATTAAACCGATTAATTATGGAAATTAGACTCAACACGAAGACTCAGAAAGGAAAAACAAAACCATCGCGTGGCGCTGGAACTATCGTGGAACGCTGGAACCAAGGTTATCAGGATCGGGATCCTACTTTGGATCGGTGAGAGGAGTAGAATCGAATCGGCAAAATTGAATCGTAGAATCGTAAGATTCTACAAAATTGATAAAAAATAGTAATAAAAGGGCTGTTACATAATTAGATAACATTTTTTAAGCCATAAAAATGGTAAAATTTATAGTTTTAGTAGTTAGATAGTAATTTTCTTAGCTTAGAGAAAAGTTTGATTACATTAGGCTCATTTTAATAAGTAAAAAGTAAGATCGTACGATCTTGACCGATCCTACTCGATTTTGACCGATCCTGCACGATTCTGTCCGATCTTGATCGATCCTGTACAAACTAATAATATTTTAAATGAAAAACAGGATCGTCCGATCCCACCCGATCTTGTACGATCATGTGCGATCCTGACCGATCCTACAACGATCCTGCTTACTCTGCGATTTTGCATCTAATTCGAATCGTTTGGCTAAAATTTTGACAACGATGGCTAGAACCATAGCGGCGCGATGAAACAGGCGTTTCGCGACACGGACCAGATTTTCGCGCCACCAATGGAACGTTAATCTAATCTGTTTTCGGTGATTCTTTTGAAGGTTTAAGCCTATGGACTGCTGAGTCGGGTATGTTTAGACTTTATAGGTTCAAATTAATTAACCAATTAAATTAAGCAAAGTCCTTTTTAGTCCTTGGTTAGTTCATTAAAATTTATTTACAAGAAACAAGTCAACACAAAGGGTTAGTTTAATCACAAATACGGTATGCAAAAGTAAAAGATGCACAAGTAGTCAAGTAGTCACAACATGATGCAATAAGTTTGCAACCTAACCATGGCTCTAGTTCTCTAAGGTCAAGGATTATGGTTGTCCAAGAGGGTCCATGGTTATGAGTCCGGATGCATCGCGCGGAAACCTTACCTTAGAAGGGTTGGCACGATGGATGGGACCCCCCAAGTTAAACTCGCTTCCATGGTTTGGTGAATTCACAATCTCGGATGAACCCATTGTTGCATAGAATGTTCATTAGGGTGGATGGAGCGTGAATTCCCAAGGGCTAAAACCATATGTAGAACTCATATGAGTTTAGAAAAGTCGAAAAAATTCAATCAGGAAGTAAAATTGTCGAAACAGTACTAGAATCAGGCAAACACGAAGCTAGAAGACTGGCGCAATGTCGCAAGAACTCTGCGCGAGAAAACAGAGTCTATCGCGCCGCGATAGAGTTGTCGTTTGGAAATGGTCACTGTCGTCTCGCGATAGTTCTAGTGCGCCACGACAATCCCTGTTTTCGATGTTTTTTCCGATTTTGCGTAGCGTTTATTCGATTTTACTTGTAAAAGATATTTTTGGCTTTTCCTACGTGTATAATTCCTATGTTTTTGATGCATTATGGATGGTCTTTCCAATGTGAACCTTTTTATGCTTGTGCCACAATGTTGATCAAAATTACGCACAATGAATATCTAGAATATTTTAAGTCTCATCCACTCATTCTAAATCGATTGCCAAAATAAATTTTAGGAATCAAAATTGGTAATTCTCCCCGGTGGAGTCACCAAAAACTGTAGGGAATTTTTCAAACTCAGCCTTTTGAGCCCTACTGTGATCATGCTTTTAGGCATAACGGCGCTCCTAGGGAAGGAAGCTAGATATAGAAGAGTCGCCAAAAAGTTTTAGGAACTTGTAAACCGTTCACGGGTGCGAAGGTTACACCCCATTCACGATCACAGAGATCGCTAACTCCATAGTGGTCTGGAACCATGACTGGATGTTCAGGGATGATCGTACGAATCCAACCTAAAAGAGATTGAACCCGCCCTAAATCGGCCTTTACTTAATTCTTATGTATTCATGTGCGCTTTCCGATCAACATACATACATTAAGTTAGCTCTAAACATGTTTAATCTACGTTGGTTGATTATTAATACACAATCCGATCTAATATTGGTGATCACTTGAATTAAAATCATATTTGCCTAAAATCAAATTATTAATTATCTTATTAGGCGTGATTTTAAGTACAAATTCCCTTTAAACCTGCAAGAAAGGGCGTGATCAAGCAATAATAATCAATCATGAATAATCAAGCGACGTATGACACAACAATCATCATCATCATCATCATCATCATAATATCATCAAACATCGTTAGCAAGATCCTAGGCATAATACTAAACGGATTAATAACAAATCCTAGCATGTCACTAATAATAATCATAATCAAAGTATTATCCTAAACATGATACCAGAATTCATAATCAACATCCTAAACATGATACTAGGATTAAAATAAACATCCTAAACATGATACTAGGAATTAAAATAACATCCTAACATGATACTAGAAATTTTAATAACATCCTAACATGATACCAGGAATTAAAATAATATTCTAAACATGATTTCTACTCCAAACAAAAGCAATAATGAAGGTGATCGAATTACTCACGTTGATGTCCCTCCCTTCTTGCTATTAAAACAATAAACACGTTAG